AACAACAGCCCCTCATCGGTTTCATTTACATCAATTCCAAGAAACTGCTTAACACTTCCCAGATCCTTCAAGGAAAAGAATTTCTTCAGTTGATCCACTACTCCATGAATTTCTCTTTCATCATCTCCTGTTACCAAAATGTCATCTACATATATCAATAAGAAAACTCTGGATGATGATCTGATTCTATAGAACAATGAAGTGTCTGCTTTTGACTTTGAAAAACCAAGGCTACACAGAATGTTCCCTATCTTCTCAAACCAGGCCCTTGAGGCTTGTTTTAAACCATAGATGGCCTTTGAAAGCTTACAAACAGTTTCACCTTTTTCATTATTCTGCTCAAAACCAAGAGGCTGTCTCATATATATATCTTCATGTAGGTCTCCATAAAGAAATGCATTGTTGATATCCAAGTGTCTGATTTTCCATCCTTTTTGCACAGCAACACTCAGTATTATCCTTATGCTTGTTGGTTTTATCACAGGGCTGAAGGTTTCATGGTAATCAAAGCCTGCTTGCTGTGAATAACCTTGTGCCACTAACCTTGCCTTGTACCTTGCTATTGTTCCATCAGAGTTTTTCTTCAATTTGAAGACCCATTTACACCCAATTACATTCTTTCCTTCTGGTATAGGAACTAAAGACCAAGTCTTGTTTCTCATGAGGGCCTCATACTCTGTGATCATAGCATCTTTCCAAGCTTTGGAATTTAAGGCTTCCTGAATACTCTTGGGTTCTGCATTGTATACTGCTGATAAGACCTTTGGTCTTGGGTTTCCTGTTTTGGATCTAGTGGCCATAGGATGCACATTTCCGTTGTTGTGATTTGTGCCTCTCCCTTGAACAGGTTGGTATGGATCATTCAAGGGTAACTCCACAAATAAAGGTATAGTGCTATTTGAAGAAGTTGCAGTTTGTGGTGTCCTGGCTTCAAAGAGTCTAACAGGTGAACTGTTGTGTGGGCTGTGAGATTCTTGTCTCTCCAAGCTAGGACTGTGGTTGGATGGAGATGGTGGTCTTTGCTGGTTGATAAGTGGTTGATGTATGATTTCAGGATTAAAAGATGGTGATGAGGTTTGATGAGGATCACAAGTATAGTGTTTGGAATTCTCAACATTTCTGTCCTTGTAAGGAAACTCTTGCTCACTGAAAACAACATGTCTGGATATGATGACTTTTCCAGATTGAAGTAACACTTTGTATCCCTTGTATTGTGTATTATACCCTATAAAAACTCCAGGCACTGATCTATATTGCAATTTATGTTTATTCCATGGCCTGACATATAAGTAGCACAAACATCCAAAGGGTTTTAAGGAGTAATAATCTGGTTTCTGCTTGAGCAAACATTCCAATGGTATTTTGTAGTGGAGATTCTTACTTGGGAGCCTGTTGATCAAGTATGCAGCTGTAGTGAAGGCATCATCCCAGAACCTCAATGGCATATTTGAGTGAGCAATAAGTGAGAGTCCCATCTCAACCAAATGTCTATGCTTTCTCTCTGCTATCCCATTTTGTTGGGGTGTATATGGGCAAGATATTCTGTGATGTATACCATGCTCATGAAGAAAGCCTTTGAGTGCTTTGTATTCTGTTCCACCATCTGACTGAAAAGCCTTTATTTTGCAATTCAACTGATTTTCAACCAATGACTTGAAATGAACAAACACATTACAGACTTCAGACTTGGACTTCAATAAATAAATCCATACATATCTGCTAAAATGATCAATAAAGCTCACATAATAAAGATAACCATTTGATGATTTAATAGGAGCTGGACCCCACAAGTCTGAATGGATTAATTCAAGGGGTTTAGTACAAACAGTCTCAGAATTTCCAAAAGGCAATCTGTGCCCCTTTGCAAGCATACATGATGAACAAAGTTTTGAACTGCTGTTCTTGGAATATTGTAAATTCAAGGAGTTTAAAGCTTTCTCTATTACATCTTGACTACAATGACCTAGTCTAAGATGCCATATGTCAGCTTCCTCATTATTGAAAGCAGAAAAGTTCACTTGAGCTTGATCTTGATTTGATAGTTTCCCAAAAGTTGTTCCACTTTGAAAGTTAGGTGGTGAGTTGACCTTCTGCAGATTGAAATGGTACAAGCCATCTTTAACACTCCCTCTGAGGAGTATATCTTTGGTTACTCGGTCCTTCACAAGACAACAAGAGGGATGAAATTCAAAGTACACATTGTTGTCAGAGGCAAATGATGAAACACTTAGCAAATTTTTTGTAATGGAAGGCACGTGTAGAAGATTTTTTAAGAGAAAAGCCTTTGAATTCTGGGAAGATCTTAAAAAGGAGTTACCAATGTGGCTGATGTTGACTTCAGCTCCATTTCCCATTTGGAGCCTATTGTTGCCAATGTATTCTGATCCCATATTGAGATTTGCTAGCTCATTAGTGACATGAGTTGTTGCTCCTGAATCAGGAAACCATGAGGATTCACTTCCAATTTCAGACCCATTGTTGTTATTTCCAAGTTGAGGCAGTTGTCCAAAATGAGCAAGGTTGAGGTTTGGGTTCCTTAGAATGTTGCTTTGTTGAGTTTGTTGTCCTGAACCTCCATAGCTTGGGTCATTTCTGTACCAGCACCTGTCTGCTGTGTGGTTTGCCACATTGCAAATCTGACAAATCACTTTGTTGTTGTTATATCTTCCTCTTCCTCTACCTCCTCTTGCAGATCTGTTACCTCTACTGAAATTTGAACCTCTGAAATTTCTGAAATTCCCTCTTCCTTGGTTAAAGGGGTTGTTGAACCTTCTGTTATCCATTTGAGCTGCATTAATGGATGGTTGTGTTCCATCTGTGTTGACGGTTGGTCCCAGAAGATGGTTGTTGGCTTCTAAACGAGCCTCATAACTGAGAAGAAGGGCATGAAGTTCATTCAAACCATAAGGTTCTATCCTTGAAGTGACATTGACCATGACCGAGTCATATTCATTTCCAAGTCCTGATAGGACATGTAGGATTTGATCTGTCTCACTTATCCTATGACCAGCAGAAGCTAAGATGTCACAAAAAGACTTCATCTTGGAAAGGTACTCTCTCATAGACATACCATTTTTCTTCAGTGACTGCATGAGAATCTTGTATTGCATCACTTTGGCTTGTGACTGAGCTGAGAAGTTGTTTTCCAGGGCTAGCCATATGTCTTTAGAGCTGTTTAGGCCAACAGTGAGAACAAGCATTCCTTCTGTCAAGGAAGACAAGATCCAAGATGCAAGGATTTGATCTTGTCTTTCCCACAAAATGAGATCTTGATTTGTTTCTTCAGATCCATCCTGAGTGGTAGTTTGAGAGGGTGGTTGTGCTTCTTTTCTGATAAAGGATTCAAGACCATATCCTTTAATAGCTGAGAGAGCTTGTTGTTTCCACATCAAAAAGTTATTTTCATCGAGCTTCACAGAAATCAGCTGACTCTGTGGGAAGATGATTTGAGACTGATTTGAGTTTGAGGCAGTCATTTTTCTGAGGGTGAAAATTTAAAAAAAAACTGATAGAAGAGAGAATGAAGAATCAGATCTGTTCCTGCTCTGATGCCATGATAAGAAAGCTCATTAACTCAAACAAATAAAGACAACAAGAAATCATCTCGAGAATGATGCATCATGAATAATCATAATAACTCTTTTCACCAAAATGGATAGCAGCATGTCTGTTACAACATAACCTAGCTTACACTTTGTTTCCTAGTATATATATCCCTCCAAAAGGATCCTACGGTCAATAATTAATCTTATAAGGAAAGCATGATGAGAGAGAGAGATCAGCACATTGGCTTCTCATTGGCCACTGCACTTTGTCTTCTTGTTCTCAACATGCATCCACGTATGCATGTCTTTCCTTTTGACCAAAGTCATATTGTTTGAGGTGGTGAAGTGGCTTGATGGCTTTGCACATTCTTTCACAATAAGGATTAGAATTGTTTATATTTTTTTAAAGAGTAAATTAAAATTTTGAAATAAAAATATACGGATGTCGAGCCCGCCTAAGTGCGAGTACCTTCACAACCACCTAGCTAGTCTGCCTAGGCGGGCACCTAAGACGACAGTACAGAGCTAAAAATCCAACATTTGAACAATCAAAGCTTGCTATCTAGGGCACCAAAAAATTCTAACCTAGAATTCAATCACAAGATCATTTTTTTTTTTTCCTCTCCAAGAGAGAATATTCAATCTACTATACTGAAGATCATTATCATAGATACCATATTAAAGAAAACATAAGGGTGTGATTGAATATAATCTTGATTACTAAAAAAATCAATCAAAACTCAATCTCACCAATATCAACCAACCTTTCTTACACATGACATAAACTTTAATTCACTATTCATCCTCTCGCATTTTTTTAATTAATCATCACTTCCAATTATTTTTCTCCTACTTTACATCAAATCAATTTTAGTTATTCTATTTTAACTATTATTTTAATTTTAATTTAAATTTAAATTTCCACTAACAACTAACCATACCATATTTTTATCAAAATTAACTATAATTAATAAAAAAATCAATAAAAAATCTAATCAAATTCATATCCAATCACACCCTAATTAACTTTTTTTTCAGCTTGGAGAAAATATTATGATGAGAAAAGCTCTTAACATATATAACTCAGCAACTTGGTTTAGGGTTTTTATAGATAGATTGTATTTATACATAAAAATGCAACTTCTATCAGCATTTGTGACAATCAAATAAGAAACATGCTTATTAATCTGATATATATACCTAAGAATACAAAAACATCAAACAAACGAGTATTTATATAAAAAAGAATAGAGATTTTACTACAAATTAAAGCTCAAGTCAAGGAAAACAAACCCTTATAAGATTTGCAACTCCACAAGATAAAACATTATTCAATATTTTCCCTTCTTCCCTCCATCTTCCATAAAATTCGAAGAAAACCCCACCACACAACAAACCCAGCACAAAAAAATAATAATAATACTAATAAATAAAAAATAATTAAATTAAAAAAATTTAAGGCCTAAATTTCTGGCTACAGCAACAACAAGTGACCTCCATGCACATGGAATCCTTGGAAACCCGAAAAGCCCTCTCCTTCATCCTCTGGGCCTTGTCGACCTCATCCCGGGCCCTCTCCCAAAGGCTTCGGGCCCTTGCGAACTCAGAACGGGCCGTCTCCATCTCTTTCCTTGCCATCTCCATCATGCGCTCAGCGTATGCTCTCTCGACTGCCGCCAGCCGTATTTGCTGCGCAGCCTCCCATTTCAGGGTTTCGATCTCACGATAATTATCATTGTCGATATTGTTGTTTTTGTTGTTATAATTATTATTATCTTGGATAGGAGTACTGAGGCTGATGGAGAGTTGGAGGTCGAGTGATGGGCCGTGAAAGTTTTCGAACCGAAGGTCTGATGGTGGTGGTGGTGGTGGTGGTGGTGGTGGAGGGGCGGTGAAAGAGAGTAGCTGCATTTCTTGATGGATTTCTTCCATCTTTGGAATAATTGTGATTTGATTTAAGTAAATGTGGTTGTGCTTGTGTGTGTATATATATATATATATGTGTGAGTGGTGTGGGCTCATTAACGCTATGTTTGTGGTGTGGGCTCAGTAACGCTATGTTTGGTAAAACAAGCTGGCAAGTTCGCTGATAGCTAAGCTAGCTTATAGTTTATGAGTAATTTTCGAATTTATAGTTTATATAGTTGAAAAACTAGCTTATATGATAAAAGTATTTAGTAAAATTAGCTGATAAGCTCAAACAAGCTTATGAGATAAGCTCGAACTTTTTAAAGCTCGTCCTATCAAACAAAACTTATTTCAATACAGAAAACTTAAAGCTAATCAAATAAGTTATAAGTTACTTGGGAACACATACGCATGTATAGGTATGTACGATGTGGAATTTTTCTATAATATTATCAGATAATGTAGCCATATATCGTTGGTTTGACAATCTTCTATGTATTGTATGGCTCATTCTTTTGTGTGTAATTTATTAGCATAATCAACCGCATTTAGTTAGCAAGGATTGGAAAGATATGAAATTACGGCCATGATCCAAATATTATATAGAGACGGGTAACTAGTTCGTCATGAGTATGACAATACTTTCTTAAAAAAAAAAAACAGATTAACTATAAAATGTCATACTTTTATTTGTATTTTATTTTAAATTATGAAATTTGAGTATAAAATTAAGTATGTCTATTTTATGGGAATAGTATTAATGCATAATCTAATAGAAGACTTACGCAACACATAGGAGATAAAACATCATAAAATGAATACAAAATTTTCCATTGATAGATGATTTATAAATGTACATGAGTCCATGGTTTATAACATGAGTCCATGGTTATAAGAAGAGAGAAAATGTACACTAGAATCCCACTAATATTTAAATAGGAACACAAATCTTTCATTCGTTATATTATATGTATTTCTAGAGACAATTATATTATATGTTTTGTCTATAAAAATTTAAATGAGGTTGTATTGAAGAAAAAATTATCTAAAACAAAAAAAAAAGTGTCATTTTTTAATTTTTATCTTAATTTACGTGCCAAAACTTTAAAAAAACATACGAACTGAGAAGATTGGAATTAAAGTAATAATATTTTTGTTAAGCATAATATTCTTAGTATACATATTAAAATATTATATAGAATAGATAATAAAAGTGTGGCCATAATAATATTACAATTTCTAGCGTGCCAAAATTTTACGGGGACCATACACGTATTAGTCCTCAGCGTCATGATGAGTGCCATGATTTTCTGAAAACATATAATTGCATGATCCGATGAATGGATCTTTGGACATATTTTT